CGGAGATGACAATGCTGTCTCCTAGTCTCTTTTGTTCTAAGACTTTGCAAACCGCTATATGCTCACCGCCAGCAGGAATAATCAGGGGCCCAGGCCCTGTCCATTTAACATCAGCCACTGCACTGCTGCTGTGAACTGAGTTTTTAGGCTTGGGATCTACATTAAGTTCCTGATCTGTCACACCCACTCGTGCAGCATAGACCTTGTTGGAGGTGGCTGCCTTTCGGTTCAAAGGGAGGGACCAGACTTTGTTAACATTAGTACCAATGAGGATTGGCATTGTGTCTGAGCAATGAGGATCAGGGCATACTAAGGCAAGAACCGGAACAGATTTCACCTTATTTTGTGTCTCCTCTGAGAACTCTAAGTCTACTTCAATATAACCTTAATATGGGTAACTGCTTTCAGACTCACTTAGACCCCAGATAGCTAATCCTGACACTGGATTTAAAGGAACATGTGATAAATGTTCTGTGTACCAGCTGTCAAAAACAATCGTCACCTGAGAGCCACTGTCTAGAAGAGCCGTGCAGGCTTTTCCCTCTACTTTGACATGAGCAGTCGAGGGCGGTCCTACCAAACCTTTAGGCAGATTATCGGCATGTAGCTTCACAGCACTCCTTTTCACATTGGCGTTAACATTTTTTCCATCTGTGCATCCTGGGCCTGCTCTACCCCTCCTCTGGGCCTGAATCAACTTCTGAATAACTTTCGGATAATTTTCGGGTGAGGTACATTTAGTGGAAATGTGCCCAACCTCCCCACAACGGTAGCAAAAAATGTCTTTGGGGTCTCGGGGCATGGATGCCCTTGGCGCCCCAGGAGTTGGAGAGGTATCTTTGAGAGGTAAAAGCTCTTGGGGTGCTGCAGTAGACTTGACTGACATTGCTGAGACTTGTTTTCTAAGTTTTACAACCTCACTTTTAAAAGCTTGTAGGCTCCCGTCCTCTTCAGAGTTAACTGTCTCTGCTTGAATTGCAGGTGGAGGTGCAGAAGGAGAAGCATGCTGGGACTAGGCTAAAGCTTGGAGCTCAATCACTTGTGATCTCAGCCGTTCAACCTCCACCCCAAGATCTGTTGCCTCAATCTCTGTAGCTGCAGCGGTACGTTTGACGTGCACAGATTTAGGGGGATTCAGCCTACGTCTGGAGGCCTCATGCTCCTCCTCCACTCGTATCTCATTCAAGAGCTGCAGGAATGTTGGCGGGGCAATTTTTCTCTCTCTTAGTCTCAAGCTTAAAATCATCATGTCAGATCTGATGGCACCTTTAATGAGTTGGTCAATGCGTGCCTTGTCTTTGGAGGCAAGTGGTAAACCCCCTTTTTGAACTACTTTATTTAATATTCTTTCCATTCTTCTCAGAAACTCTGATAGCTTCTCAGTTGGATGCTGGCACATCATTCTGAAAGCGAAGTATAGCTCTTCTCCCATCTCTGTTGTGCCAAACGTGTTTTCAATAACATCTAGGTATTCTGTGGGAGTTGTGTCTGGATTATTAAATCTCACCGCCTGAAGAATCTCCATGGCAGGACCTTTTACACTCTCCATTATTCTCATTTTCTTTTCTTTGTCGGGTTTGTCTGACTCTTCAATCATTAGTCTCGCTTGCTCTAGCCAGTTATCCAAAGGTTCCTCTCCCAGCGGTGTGGGAAGCACCCCCGAAAATGTTCGGAGTCGTCTGTAACTGCTACTGTCACTAGTTGGTTTAGAGGTGAGCTGTAAGATGTCACCTACTGCTCTAATTATGGCCTCTGGACTGGATGATTGGAAAAACGAATTTTGGCTCGTGTCTGGCTCTGGTGTTTGTGAAGGAGCTTCTCCGTGCTGAAGGCTCTCTTTTTCAACTTCAACTGGACTAATGATTCGCCAAGGGGAATCACTGCCTTCAGGCATAACATCAGCAGGAATGGCTTCAGTCTTTGCAGCTTCCCTGCACTCACAAAGAACTGTTAAACTTTGAGACACAGGATCATATGTTCTTCCTCTGACTCTAACACGTCCAAGAGCTTTAATGGTCTGCACGGTGCCCTCTATTACACTAACTTCTGTGTCTTCAGGGACACCCTTAAGCAAAACAGCATGTGAGGGGTTAATACCCTCTCCTTTACACCAGTTAAGTAACTGACTCATATTGTCATTTCACAAGAATAACAAACAATAAACCACAAAAGTGTCTTCTGTAATGTTCAGGAACAAAACTAATTAAACTTCAGTAACTTCTGTAACAGTCACCCAAAGTGGCACTAGGTACTGATCGTCTGGGCATAAGGCTCTTTTATGCAAAAAAAATATAATAATAATTTTATCCGAGCAGTGCCTCCATTTTTTTATGTAGCACCCCCTTACCCAGTCTAGTAACTGCACTACAATCTAAAACAGGTGGGGTGTCTTCTTGGGTTCGTTGATTTCTGGTAGAAACCTAGCCGTTCACCTAAGGTAAAGTAATCTTTTCCTTTTGCTCTCAAACCATTACATTAGCATTATGACTTAACCCAGAATAAGCCCAGACAACTTTCTAAATGAAAAAAAAAAAATCTTTAATAAAGAACTCACTTAGAATGAAGGAACTGTTCAGTTAACCTGAAAGCAATCAAATTACCAAAATTGTAAATGTCTTTGAATCAAATAACCAATTCAGTTTGTTTTTTCAGTGAACATATCTAATATGGGTCATTAACCGACCTCCATACATTTCTCAAAAAAATATAAATAAAAAACAATACCAAGTTCAATCTAAATCCACCCGTGGGCCCACACTCACTCACACCCACACACACACACACACCAAGTTCGGTACCGTAGCTTTTTTGTTTCGTTGCAGGCCTGTGCGGTGATTTTGTGTCATGCGAAACCTTTCCTTCAGATGCCCTGACAGATTCGCAGAGCAGGCATCCTCAACACAGACACGAAACCCGATGTCCTCAGCGATCCGACGGGTGTCTGTATCCTCCGTCCGAAAACCTGAATCCAGACGTCCTCAGCGAACTTCCCCACACCACTCCTCCGACTCTCCTTGCGTCTCCTGCTCCAACCAGCTCCCGATCAGTCCCGTCTCTGTCCCTTATTATCCCAGGTAGAAGCTTTATGGCTCGTTAAAGCCGCCAGCACCGTTGAAATCATTTAACGGCTCCTCAACTGCAACGTCCCCACTCCTCCAAGCAGGGGCTTCGTTAGGCCCGGCTACTTGGGCTGAAGCCCCGGATCTTTCATGATAAGCCCCGGATCTAAATCGCGGAAGTAACATGCAGTACCAAAGTCCACTTCTTCCACTGCTGTCTTCCGCTCTCCTCTCACCCGCTTCTCCGTCCCAACGTCTCAACCCCCCGCCGTCTCTCTCTCTCTCTCTCTGTCTCTCCCGAACCTTTTTTTTTCTCTCCTCCCTCTCTCTCCTTCCCGCTGTCTCCCTCTTCTCGAACTTTCCCCAACGCTCCCCCTAGTGTTCATAACTTGCTATTGCTCCTACACAGCTTTCATTTGTTTAAAATTCAGTCCAACATCCTTAGACTAAACAATCAACAAAACAATAATACACACATAAATGGAAACAAACATTTCTCATCTGAGGCCTGTTCTCAACTGAAAAATACTCAATGTAAACTGCATAACTTAAGTGGCAACGTTACAGTTAACATTATACATGCACCTCACTGTTCATGTGGATACAAAGTAATGTCAAACCTGGTTTACTACATTGAAGGGTTTTAAGTAAACTGTGTAACCCAGGGGGCTACACACACACACACATATATATATATATATATATATATATGTATGTATATATATATATATATATATATATATGTATATATATATATATATGTATATATGTATGTATGTATACATATATATATGTATATATATGTATGGTGGCGCAGTTGTTAGCACTGTTGCCTCGCAGCACGAAGGTTGCAGATTCAAATACTCGGCTGCGGCCTCTCTGCGTGGAGTTGCGTGTTCTCCCCATGCATGCGTGGGTTTCCTCCGGGTACTCCGGTTTCCCCCACAGATTGCAACATGCCCTATAGGTTATAAATTGTAAGTCGCTTTGGATAAAAGCGTCTGCTAAATAAATAAACATAAACATATATATATATATATATGTATGTATGTATGTATATATATATATATATATATATATATATATATATATGTATATAGATATGTATGTATGTATATATATATATATATATATATATATATATATATATATATATATATATATATTCCCTGATGTAGGGCTGGGGGGTGCGTCGAAATGGTCGGGACATAGAAGGGGGTGCGCGGCTAACCCCGGCTCTCCACAGGAGCCGTCAGCAGCACGTTACTGCAGCAGCATGTCATAGCTGCTGATAGGAACCACTGTGGTCAACAGAACCTTTTCCACTGGAGCCGTCAGCAGCGCGAGTCGGCCGCGTCTCAGGAGCAGCATGTCGCGGCCTTTACGCGCCGGTTCTATTTTCTACGCGCGACGTCTCTGAAACGAGTCAAGTTCGACATTTTTGGGGAAGGAAAGACAGGAAATCGGACGCGGAAATGGAGAGAAGCTCCCGAGATTTTCAGAATAAAGAACGTACTGCCTTCTGGTTCTTTACTTTAAAAAAGGTTTCTAACTGCGGCCCCGTGAGAAGTTATCGCATTCGCATAGCTAGCGGTCTCCTTTGTTTTTCAGGTCCGTATTGGCAATTATAAAACGGACAGAACATAAAACACAAACCACGTTGTAGTTTTCTCCTGCTTGTTGTTGTGTTTACTGACGAAGTCACTCGTGTGACTTCGTGCTCGGTTGGTGACAGCTGCTCTCCTGCTGCTTCGCGTCTCGTGGGAAGGGCCAAGCAGCAGCTTACGCGAGCAAGACGTGCTGCTGCAGTAACGTGCTGCTGACGGCTCCTGTGGAAACCCAGGGTTAATAAGTTTGGGAACTGCTGCATTAGATGATTAAAAAAAGTGTTTTTAATTGTCAAATTAATCAACATTTTCTTTTTTCTCTTATCCTGTCTAGATCTTCCACAGCATCATGTCTGTGAAAAGGAGAAGGATTTGACTGTCCAGCAGCTCTTTAACCAGGAGTTGATCTCCTGTTCAGACCAGCAAGAACCAGAACAGCTAAAACTTTTCCAACATGAAGGGCAGCTCCTGAACCAGAAAAATCTTACCTTCACAGATACTCCTCTCTCTGAAGAAACAGACTGTCATGAACCAGAACCAAACAGGAACCAGCCATTGTGTCAGAGTTCTACAGAATCTGAGAACCAAGATCGGGGTGGATGCAGAAAAGAAAACTCAGAATCAAACGGTAGTGAAGAACTGAAACTGAATAAAAGACGTCAGCGAAGCAAAGAACACAGAGAAAGTGTAGGTGGTGAAATACTTAAAAAAAAGAGGGCTCACAAAGGTGAGAGACCATTTTATTGTAAGCTCTGTGGAAAATCTTTCAGTCGCAAATTTGATTTAAATACTCACATGAGAGCTCACACAGGTGAGAAGCCATATCCATGTGAAACTTGTGGTAAATGTTTTAGAGACAGTGGTAGCTTGACTGAACACATGAGAACTCACACAGGTGAGAAGCCATTTCCATGTAAAACTTGTGGTAAATGTTTTACTATCAGTGGTAACTTGACTAAACACATGAGAATTCACACAGGTGAGAAGCCATATCCATGTAAAACTTGTGGTAAATGTTTTACTATCAGTAGTAGCTTGACTGCACACATGAGAACTCACACAGGTGAGAAGCCATATCCATGTGAAACTTGTGGTAAATGTTTTAGAGACAGTAGTGTCTTGACTAAACACATGAGAACTCACACAGGTGACAAGCCATATCCATGTGAAACTTGTGGTAAATGTTTTACTAAAAGTGGTAACTTGACTACACACATGAGAACTCACACAGGTGAGAAGCCATATCCATGTAAAACTTGTGGTAAATGTTTTAGAGACAGTGGTAACTTGACTACACACATGAGAACTCACACAGGTGAGAAGCCATATCCATGTAAAACTTGTGGTAAATGTTTTAGACAGCGTGGTAGCTTGACTGCACACATGAGAACTCACACAGGTGGGAAGCCATATCCATGTAAAACTTGTGGTAAATGTTTTAGAGACAGTAGTGTCTTGACTAAACACATGAGAACTCACACAGGTGACAAGCCATATCCATGTGAAACTTGTGGTAAATGTTTTACTAAAAGTGGTAACTTGACTGCACACATGAGAACTCACACAGGTGAGAAGCCATATCCATGTGAAACTTGTGGTAAATGTTTTAGAGACAGTGGTAGCTTGACTGCACACATGAGAACTCACACAGGTGAGAAGCCATATCCATGTAAAACTTGTGGTAAATGTTTTAGACAGCGTGGTAGCTTGACTGCACACATGAGAACTCACACAGGTGGGAAGCCATATCCATGTAAAACTTGTGGTAAATGTTTTACTAAAAGTGGTAACTTGACTGCACACATGAGAACTCACACAGGTGAGAAGCCATATCCATGTGAAACTTGTGGTAAATGTTTTAGTATCAGTAGTAGCTTGACTAAACACATGAGAATTCACACAGGTGAGAAGCCATATCCATGTGAAACTTGTGGTAAATGTTTTAGTATCAGTAGTAGCTTGACTAAACACATGAGAATTCACACAGGTGAGAAGCCATATCCATGTGAAACTTGTGGTAAATGTTTTAGAGACAGTAGTGTCTTGACTAAACACATGAGAACTCACACAGGTGACAAGCCATATCCATGTGAAACTTGTGGTAAATGTTTTACTAAAAGTGGTAACTTGACTGCACACATGAGAACTCACACAGGTGAGAAGCCATATCCATGTGAAACTTGTGGTAAATGTTTTAGAGACAGTGGTAGCTTGACTGCACACATGAGAACTCACACAGGTGAGAAGCCATATCCATGTAAAACTTGTGGTAAATGTTTTACTTACAGTGCTTGCTTGACTAAACACATAAGAACTCACACAGGTGAGAATTGATTTCATCTTCTATGAGATTCATTTTCTTTACCTTCTGATTTGAAAATTCACACTTGAGATTGTATTCATTAAAATATGTTTGGCAACATATCATAGATGCCTTAAAGTGCTCAAGGCATGGGTGGAAACTTATTTTAGCCACACTTCCTGTTAGAAAAACGCTTTTGAAAAGTAATTAGCTGACAACATCACATTTTGTTGCTTGCCTTAGGAATGTAGATGTGATTGAGCACATGCGCACGTGATTTAAGACACGGGTGGTCTATGATGTCACAAGCACATGTGGGCGGGTCAAAAGCGCAGAGAAGTCCGCATTGTCCATTATTAAACAAAAGCAGCCTAAGTAGTCTTGCTTTTGGACACTTTCTGACTTTCATATTGCATCCTGCTTTGCTGGGTCTGGCAGAAATGTGTGTGTGTGTGCGCGTGCATACGCCTCACAGCAGTGAGGGACAGAAAAAAAACAGCTTTTGTGAGAGGCTTCTTAACTCCACAGCATCAACGATAATGAATCACGCATGCGGGAAGCCTCCAGCAGGCTGATTCCCGCCGCCAATCGGAGTTGGTAATGGTAGGCATGCTTTTGAGTTAGCCAGTCAGTCAGCAGTGGGCATGTCGGCCCTGTTCAGCTCCAGATGGACCTACTTGGGAAGAGGGCTGGAAAGACATCTGGAGAGAGAAAACTCCTAACCCATGCCATTATTTTACTCAGATCTTTAACTTGTGGTCACATCTGCCTTAAAAATGTTCTTGCTTTATACCAGTGTCCCTCAATAGGCGGTCTGGACCTGACCTGACAACCTCCCAAGTTTTCAATTCTACTCTGCTTGGTCAGGGAGCACATTGCTTGTGATGTGGATGAGGCGCTGTGGCCAGATAAAAACGAGCGGATGCAGCACAGTCGTTTATTAATTCATTTTTTCCTTTATTTGTTTTAGCTTAACTATTAATTATAGTCTTCTGTTTGTATATGTAGACCACTGCATAGGCAACTCTGTGTTGGTTTGGATGAACTCTGTTTTGTGTTAAAACACACAAGTATATTTTGTAACGTGTTTGTGAGTTTTGTACACAAACATTCTGAAATATTTAATGCACTGCCGTAGTACAGTAAGTGTAACACTGAACACAATAAGTTGTTATGATGACTGGAGAAGTGGTCATAATGTTTTACACATCAGAGTTAATCTGGTTCTTATAAATGTTTACTCATGTGATGGTTTGCGTGTCATTTGGAAACCAAAGACCATTTTGAGAAGAATGCGTGTGTTTTTGGATTCGCGTGTAGAGTTCTAAAAATATGTTGCATGCTTTAAAAAAACGTGAATAAACAACTGTGAAGAACTGTATTTGTAATAATGTGTGAAAAGTGTTTTCCAATTCAACAAGTTGGTATGAAAAGTAGGGCAGCTGACTTTACAGTTTTTAATGACAGTGTGTTTGTTGTGAAAAGAGATTTCCTTCATGATTTCCTTGATAAACGTGTGTTTTTAAACCGTAATCTTAAGTTTGAAGCAGAGATTGTGCTGGTAGTTCAGGAGAACTGGTTAGGGGAGTTGGCACATCAGCTACATGTTGGTAGTCACTGTGCCAGACGTAAAAAGAATTGTGTGTAAACAACAGCGTTAACATTAGTGGAGTGATCATATATAGTTTGATCTCATTTTCAAATAAAGAGAAAAATGGTTTTTTATTAGTATTTTGATCTTTATGAATATGCCAATTGTTATGTAAAATAACATTAAATACACAAAAATGCTGTTTTTCCTCAGATGGATGGTCAGTGAAGCCGAACAATATATGTTTAAAGGTGCAATATGTAAGAATATACACCTTTCTCAGTGGGCTAGTGGTAGAGTGTAGAGCCCTGCACTGAAGCCCCAGGCCCTCGGGTCGGCCCGGCCCGAGGGCCTGGGGCTTCGGGCCAACGACTGTGCAATTACCTCGGACACGGGCCGGGCTCCTTTATTTCTAATCAAAATCATTTAAAAATTTGAAACACTTAAACGCAGCAGTAGAGCCCTGCGCGGGACTGTTTTCTTCATCCCGCTCCTGCTGAATTTCTGACCATTACCGCCTGCAACCGCAACGTGTGTGTTACACTCCCGCCCGCACCTGCAGCGTACATGTCTACTCCCGCCCGCAACCGCAAAACTTGGAGAAATTATTACCTCACAATAAAAGAGATGTATTGAGTTTGCGTCCTCAACATGTCATTTTATAGGTATCCGCTTTCACCGCGGCGCTGCACTCCGTTTCAATCAGGCTGTACAGCAGGATTTCCCCTCGTAGCGATATTTTCTCTAACTCTGATTGCTTCATGCTATATATCGTTGGAAAGCTGCTTTTATGTACTTTTAGGAACCGTTGGAATTATTTGAATCTGATCAGCCATTCAAAAGTTATAAAACGGAGCATTTTGGATGACAAACTCGGCACGTCTCTGAATCTGTATTGTGATTCGTTGCGCTCAAGACAGGGAATCCCGGTGGCTACCGTAATGTATTGTATATGCACGGAAAGCCCCATTTTTATTCTTTTCAGCACTTTTGGAATTTTAATGATATCTTGAACTAGAGCAGGGGTCGGCAACCCGCAGCTCTTCCATCCATCTGATGCGGCTCTCTGTGCTTGTAAAATAATGAATGGATATTTAAATAAAATGCTTTATATTTTACTGAATTAATTTTATATCTGTATGTCAATTCTATGTGAAGATTGTCTGCGTAAACCTGAACTGGTCCAACCCAGTCTTACTGTGAGACCGTGTTGGGTCACGCTTGTGCATAATCATATAGGCGCTTATGAGCTGAAGAGGATGTGAGATTCTGGGCTTCTCCTCAGACAGGCTCCTGGATGTGTCGCACATTGGAGACAGGAACAAGCGCTATTGAGCCAAAGTTTCATAATCAGGGAACATTTTATAAGTGACAAGTCTCTCTGAGCGACAGGGTTTGGAAAACACTCGCTTCAGTGGGAGGAAGCTTCCCGCATGCGCTTCTGCGACGCTCGGATCCTGCACGTCTTTTAACACATTGGTCAGGATTGACGCACTTTATTTTCATTTAGTTGGTTAAAAAAAAACGTCGGGCTTGGGCTCGGGCTGGGCCAGAGAGTCCTGAAAACCGTTTCGGGCCGGGTCGGGCTGGGGCTCCACCCCCTCGGGCCGGGCCGGACACGGGCTCAGATTTTAGGCCCGTGCAGGGCTCTAGTAGAGTGTCCGCCCTGAGACTGGGAGATCAGGGGTTCGATTCCTGGTCGGGTCATACCAAAGACTTTGAAAAAATGGGACCCAATGCCTCCCTGCTTGACACTCAGCATTAAGGGGTTGGATTGGGGGTTAAACCACCAAATAGTTCCCGAGCGCGGCTGTGTGCAGCTCACCGCTCCCCCAGGGGATGGGTCAAATGCGGAGAATAAATTTCGCACACACACCTGTGTGTGTGACAACTAATGGGACTTTAATATAGTGAAAATTTTACAGTGAGAAAATCCCCAATGATTGTAATGTTCAGTCATTTTGGAAGGAAGGTTGTACTGAAACATATTTCATATCCAGCTGGCTGCTGGATATGCCGGGTTATGGTTGAGGTTGAAATGGCTCTGAGGGACAGACACAACCAGGTTGGAGTGGATGCAGGGGACAAGCTGAGTTTTGTGGCAAGGAGAAAGGGTAAGAAAAGGCCTCAGGAGTTAGATGATGAAAGATCACGAACCCACTTAATCACAACAGTCACAAAACTTGTCTCTGAAGGTGTTAGCGGTGGAAAAACATCAACAGCAGTCAGCTTCTGTTGACGTTACACACAAAGCTGAGAGCTAAGCAGAAGTTCCTGTGAAGCCGCTAGACACACACACAGGGGGCCCCTCAATTCCTTCTGCTCCACTGTATTCCCTGCCACCTCCTTACAGGTATGACAGCTCTGCTGTGTGTGAGTATGGACTCCAAGCTCCTGTCTTTAAGGTAACTGGAGGCCTAATTAAGGATCAAGAGGTTGTTTCGCCCACTCGTGCAGGAATAAGTTCTAGTTGACTTAAACTGATCCAAACAAAAAGGGAACTTGAAACCTTGGCCGCCCAAACCGCGAGCCAAATGAGGGAACGCTCACGTCTCGCTCCTCCACAGGCTCTTGCTACCTATTGAGAGGAGACTTGGGGCAGACTCGGTGGTCACATTTTCGAGTCTGGGCCAAGCTCATCTCTGTGAAAACCTCTGACCTCCTGCCATTCCACTCCTGCACACAGGCCCCAGCTCCTGAAATGTGTGTGTGAACTCTGCACTTCCGCTCCTGACTGAAGTGTGTGCGTGGGCCTCTGCCCTGCCCCCGCTGGCCCCCCTGCTCTGCACTCTGTTCTGTGGAACAAGCTGACTGGGTCCAACAGAACCAAGAGGCCAGAGGTGTGAACGCTGACTTCTTGGAAAGTCAGAGCGTGACGTCTAAAAAGGACTGCATGTGTAAAGAAGACCAGGAAAAGAAGATGGGGACAGGAAACCACAGAAAGTCACACTTCAGAAGACTGGGCCTGCAAGAGAGGCAAGAGACAGTTTTTGTGCAGCAAAAATAAAGATGTGAATTTTCCTCAACAGGTGTTAAAAAAGTTGACGAGACAGTAAAACAAAGATCAGGAAGAAGGAAAAAATATTGTAATGCATAATGTGGGAGGTGGGAAATAAAAGTGTCTAGGGTTCTGGTCAGGGAGAGAGTTGGTGATTGACAGCTGAAGTGTGTGTTACACAGAGCTTGTTTTCCCGCGGATCTGCTAGACTTGGGTTTTTGATACGAGCTTTTCCTATTTCGCCTACGCTATTGTTCCCTGTTTGGAGTACCTTTTTTCATTTTTGTGTGTGGAATAAACTATTTCTTCCTTCGGGAGGAAATTAAAAGGCAATTCGTGGGGGCCTCCTTTATTTCTCTGGCTCGGCAAGGTGAGTTTGCTGGTTGCTTCATTCCATCCCAGGTTGTTTAGATCAGCTGTGGCCTGATCAGAGGGTAAGCTGATGGGGGTCTGATGAGTGTCATAAGCTCTTGCAGTGTCTGTATGTTCTTATCAGCAGAGTCTTCCTACAGCTAAATAAAGGTCATTTTACCAGAATTAAAGGCCTAGATTGCATATAAGTAACAGTTTTTCTCTACAAAGTAAGGGTGCCTGCAGGAGGAGGCAGAGGTCACGCCCACCATCTAGTACCGTGAATAAGTGCTTTGAGATTTATCACCTAGAGTTAGCCCGGTGGCCTGGTTCACGACACTACCCCTGACAACATGCTACTGTTTTTTTACTTGATGTTTCTGAAATACTCCGGGAGTTGACGTCACTTCTCCCGGCATGCAACAGTTCAAATCGAATCTGCGCCATCTTGGCAGGCAGTAGCCCGCAGCTAGGCTATTTGTTGTTGTCAGAAAACTCAATCAAACGGGAAATATGGTAGATTCCTGTTGTGCCCCAGGATGCCAGAACAGACGTGGATGAGATAAGGGAAGAGCCTTCTACAGGATTCCTCAAGATCCGGAACGCCGCAAACGTTGGATCATCGCAATGAAACGCGCTAGCCTCCAGGCTAAAATGAAGCTGTGGGATCCTGAGAGTAAAGGTTTTCGCTTATGCAGCAACCACTTCATATCAGGTACTTAAACCAACGTGTCCTGTATATGGTATTTATTTTAAATGCTTTTATTACGATTCTTAGTGGGCTTCCTAAACTTATTTTGGCGTGGCTTTTTCTGTCTTATTACTCATAGCAACAAGTATACATCACGTATCACGTAAAACGTTGCCTCGTGATTTCTGCGTGCTGTCGTTTACGTGTTTTATGATCACAGCAATTACCCGGCTAAGCTATATTTCATTTTCCAGCAATGATTGATCAATTGTCAGATCACACATAAAAAGCACTTTGGATTGCTATTATCTGTCTCACCGAGATAGATCTCAGACAGATCCTGAGACGCTCCTGCCTGACATATTTATTTTATTCACGGAAAAAAAAATCAGACTAGTGATTTCTCTTGGTGTTCAGTTTATACATTCAAACAGCACAGCACTCTATTTAAACTTCTTACATGTAAATCTATGTTATTTGTCCATCCAGGGCTGGATTATCATTGCAGGGGCCCCTGGGCACCCACCCCACCCCACCCGGCCTCCCCCAACATTACTGCCACCCAGAAGCACTTTTTAGACATTTCATAACATTGTCAATATTAAAACTCGCTTACTTATGTTGACACAAGTGTTAAACATCTGCATGTTTTTGTTTGTCTCCTGTCTCCTTCCTCCTCTTGTCTCCTGTTTCCTTTCTTATCTTGCCTTCTGTCTCCTTCCTCCTCTTATCTCCTGTTTCCTTCCTCCT